TGTTGTACAGCAGAAATTAATACAACATTGTAAATCAACTATACTTCAATAAGCTTTATAAAAAAAATAATAAAAGTCATTACAAACCTTGCCTCTTCGAGAAGAATACACTATCCAGACTTTTTTTTTTTTCTTGTGGTACACAGGCCTCTAACTGTTGTGGCTTCTACCGATGCGGAGCACAGGCTCCAGACGTGCAGGCTCAGCGGCCATGGCTCACGGGCCCAGCTGCTCTGTAGCATGTGGGATCTTCCCGGACTGGGGCACGAACCTGTCTCCCCTGCATTGGCAGTCGAACTCTCAACCACTGCGCCACCAGAGAAGCCCTATCCACACTTTCATTATTGAACTCAATTTGTCTTCTGGGCTATAACATTCAAGAGCCTCTGATTTTTTTCATAATAGCTAGTATTTATTGAGCACTTAGCAAGTATACTAAACACTTCACATAATCCTCACAACTTCCCTAAAACACTTCACATAATCCTCACAACTTCCCTAAGGAGTGTGGGAGAAAAGTGAAGGACCTTGGGACAAGGCCCTGGAGATGAAACCAGAGCCTGAAAACTGTTACGTTTTCATTCATTCATTCAGCATATTTATTAAGCATCACTGTCCTCATGTCTGTTAGGTACCAAAGGTACAGCCTTAAAGAACTCTAACAGAGGGACTTACCTGGTGTCGCAGTGGTTAAGACTCCGAGCTCCCAATGTAAGGGGCCAGGATTCGATCCCTGGTCAGGGAACTAGATCCCACATGCATGCCGCAATTAAGAGTTTGCATGCCACAACTAAGGAGGCTGCCTGCCGCAACTAAGACCCAGTGCAATCAAATACATAAATTTAAAAAAAAAAAGTTGACAGAATTCCAGCCTAACAGAGGAGACAGACAATAAACAAGTGAAGAAATAAACAAGATAAATACTACAAATTGTGAAGAGAGCTCTCATATACATTACATCACATATAGGATGGTGTAACAGAGGCAGGGAGGGCTCTTCTGTGTGACATTCAAGCTGAAATAGAAGAATGAAGAAGCCATAACTCTGCAGAAAGTTGGGGGAAGAGCACTTTGGGCTGAGCAAACAGCAAGACCAAATAGCTTGAGGCAAAAAGCATGCAGACAAAGTAACTTGATAAATCCTAAGAAAAGATAAGGGCTGCCTGTGGATGGGGTCTGAGAACTAGAGAGATAAGACGGGGAAAGTAGGGACTTCCCTGGTGGTGCAGTGGTTAAGAATCCACCTGCCAATGCAGGGGACCCGGGTTCGATCCGTGGTCCAGGAAGATTCCACATGCCACAGAGCAACTAAGCCCGTGTGCCACAACTACTGAGCCTACGCACCGCAACTACTGAAGCCCACACGCTCTAGGGCCCGTGTGTCACAACTACTGAGCCCGTGTGCTGCAACTACGGAAGCCCATGGGCCTAGAGCCTGTGGTCTGCAATGAGAATCCCATGCACTGAAATGAAGACCCAACACGGCCAAAAAAGAAAAAAAGATATACTTTGGAGGTAGAACCGATTTTTTGATTTCATGCAGAGGATAAATCCTTGTTGTTGTTAACTATATGATGCTATTTATCATGCTGGGGGACACTGGAAGGAACAGGTTAGGTTGATAAAATCATGAGCTCCAGTTTGGACATATTAAATCTGATATGCCAGCTAGATCTCCAAATGTAGGTGTCTAATAAGTAGTTGGATAATTTGGGAACTCAGAGAAGAGCTCTATCCTACCATGGTAATAAAATGTAAAAATTATTAACATTTAGGGCTTTCCCTGGTGGTCCAGTGGCTAAGACTTCGTGCTCCCAATGCAGGGGTTCGATCCCTGGTCGGGGAACTAGACCCCACATGCTGCAACTAAGACCTGGTGCAGTCACATATATAAATAAATAAATATTTTTTAAAAAGATTATTAACATTTAGATGGTGTTTGAAGTCTTGAAGAGACTATCTAGATAAGAAAACCTAGTTGTTAAAGTGGGCCCAGAACTGAGCTCTGAAATATCTCATCATTTAGGGGTCCTAAGATGGAGAAGTCAGCAAAGGAGACAGGACACTTAGGCAAGAGGAAAATCACGAGCGTGTGGTGTCACAGAGGCCAATAAGAAAAGTGTTTCATGAAAGACAGAGTACCACCTATGTTGAATGCTGCTAACAGGTAAAAAGAGATAGTATAGAGAACTGTTTATTGGATTTGGCAACATGTGGCTTATTGGTATCCTTCTCAGGTTTAAGAGAAGGGTGGACAGATTGAGTTGGATTGAAGATGAAACAGAGGTGAGGAAATGGAGACCTCTAGTGTGGGCAATTCGTTTTAGTATTGTTGCAAAGAAGAGTGAAGAAATGAGATGACTGGGTAAAAGGGAGGGTTTGTTTATTTTTAAGACGGAAGTGATTCAGTAGAAGTAACTGATGCTACAGCAAGGAAAAATCCTTGAGAAGGTATGGGGGTGGTGGTGTCGGATCCACAGCACTGTGGGTGGGGTTTGCCCTTTGGTTGGGGCAGAGACACATCTTTCATGGTACCAGGAAGTCAGAGATGATGGGTGCAGATGCAAGTAGGCTTGTAGCTCCTAGTTGGATGAGAATGTTCCTGATTGTTTTCTCAAAGAACTATGAGAAGTCATTATTTATGGTAGAGTGAGAGAAGAGGGTGTAGGAGTTTGAACAGAGAAAGCATGAAATACACTATCTCTGGAAGTGGGAAAGTGAACTTACTAGAGAAATTCAGTAAGATTGCCAGGGAAAGTCTAATGCCCTTTTGTGGTCCGTGGTCAAAATTTAAAGTGAAAGCCTCAGCCCTTGTTAAAGAAGGTGAATTCTCTGGTCCAACCAGAATTGGGGTTTTACCAGGTGAGTATATGGGGAAAGAGAAAAACAAGAGTTGTGGCAATCGTAACATCTAAACTGGGTTAACACAAGTTATGAATATAAAAATGTGAGAGAGACTGAAAAAGTCATACATTTAATGGTTTGGCGTTTTGTTTGTTGTTTCTTGCTTTTGGCCATGCAGCCTGTGGGATCTTAATTCCCTGACCAGGGATCTAACCCATGCCCCCTAAAGTGGGAGTATGGAGTCTTAACCACTGGACCGCTAGGTGAGTCCCGGTTTGGAGGTTTTGACGAAGCCAAAGAATCAAAGTTACTATGTTAGTTGGGATGCTTGAAATAGAGATTTTTTAGGGATGTTATTCTTGGCAATAACAAACAGGAATAACTATATATGATGTGGGTGGGGTGGCTGACATAGGATGGAGGGAAGATTGTTGGAGGTGAGTAGGTAAAGGATTAACAGAGTATTGGGTGGTCATCCACACAGATGTTAAATGATGTACAGAAGTAGAAAGAAAGACAATGAGCCATGAGCTAGTATTAACTGAGGGAGGAATGATCCACCCAAAGGTCCATAGATGATACTAACTAGGAGAGGTATTAAGGGAAATGGCTCATGCACTTCAAAGTAGTTGGAGATTTTGAAGTAAGAAGGATGCTGTCCATTTGTTGATTCCATATATATATATATTTTAAAATATATTAATTTTATTTACTTTTGGCTGCGTTGGGTCTTTGGTGCTGTGCGCGGGCTTTCTCTAGTTGTGGTAAGTGGAGTCTACTCTCTGCTGTGGTGTGCGGGCTTCTCACTGCGGTGGCTTCTCTTGTTGTGGAGCACAGGCGCTAGGCGCGCAGGCTTCAGTAGTCGCACGCGGGCTCAGTAGTTGTGGCACAGAGGCTTAGCTGCCCCGCGGCATGTGGGATCTTCCCGGACCAGGGCTCGAACCTGTGTCCCCTGCATTGGCAGGCGGATTCTTAACCACTACGCCACCAGGGAAGCCCCATATATTTATATTTTTGAATTTTATTTTTTATTCAGCAGGTTCTTATTAGTTATCCATTTTATACATATTAGTGTATATATGTCAATCCCAATCTCCCAATTCTAGATATTTTAATATTGTAGTTTTTTTTTTTTTTTTTCGGTGCGTGGGCCTCTCACTGCTGTGGCCTCTCCCGTTGCGGAGCACAGGCTCCGGACGCGCAGGCTCAGCGGCCATGGCTCACGGGCCCAGCCACTCCGCGGCACGTGGGATCCTCCCGGACCGGGGCACGAACCCGTGTCCCCTGCATCAGCAGGCGGACTCCCAACCACTGCGCCACCAGGGAAGCCCTTAATATTGTAGTTTTAAAGTATCTTAATCTGTTCATAAAGTGTTTTGAGGTAGCAGAATTAAGAAAAATGTTAAAATCTTTCTGTGATTCATGTTTGTAAATTACTAGTCTATATACACACACACAAAATCAAGGCCTTTCTCTTTCAGCAAAGAGGGCACTGAAGCTTATTGAGACATTTATACGCTAGACCAAACCACTACTCCAATGAGGTTCCAAAATGAAATTAGTAAGATGGTGTGTGTGAAATCGGTTAAGATTTAATTTCTCTAATTTTATTGGCCGAGCACGAGGCAGAAGAGATAGCAGGCACTTCATTTATGCTTTTGAACCAGAGACTGCTGTTCTTTCTGGGGAAGGATACCAGCAGGCTGCTCCTAAGAGCAATCAAGAAAGAAAGGAGCCTTCTAACATCTCTCCCTAGGAACTGCTGATAGGGCCCTGGCTATTTGCTTTCACGGGAAAATTGCTCTGGAGAACCCATTCAAATATCTCCCAGCAAATCACTGTGGCCTACAGCCAACTCCTTTTCCGCTCATTGGCCGACTAGAAACTTCAACCACTCCATGCCTCCCGCCTCTCATCGGGAGCCAATAGGAAAGATTAGTTTTTCGTAACTTAGCGTCATCAAGTACAGTACTTGCAACTGGCTTTTGGAGCTACAGATCGAGAAGTAGGCGGGGCCGTGCCAGCCGGCCTATATAAGAAGAGGACAAAGGCGGCGCGCCGCCTGTGTCATCCGCCATCTTGTGCGAAGCAAGGTGGCCTCCACGTTCCCTGAACGTCTTCTTCGCTTCTGCCTCGACCGCCCCTTGATCACAGACATGTCTCGGGACCGGTTCCGAAGTCGGGGCGGTGGCGGTGGCGGTTTCCACCGACGCGGAGGGGGAGGCGGCCGCGGCGGCCTCCACGACTTCCGCTCCCCGCCACCCGGCATGGGCCTCAATCAGAACCGCGGACCTTTGGGGCCCGGCCCGGGCCAGGGTGGCCCCAAGCCTCCGATCCCGCCACCGCCTCCGCACCAGCAACAGCAGCAGCCACCGCCGCAACAGCCGCCACCACAGCAGCCGCCGCCGCTTCAGCCGCCGCCGCACCAGCCGCCGCATCCGCAGCCGCCGCATCAGCCGCCGCCGCCGCCACAGGACTCATCTAAGCCTGCCGTCCCTCAGGGACCCGGCCCGGCTCCCGGAGTAGGCAGCGCTCCCCCGGCCTCCGGCTCGGCGCCGCCCGCCACACCCCCCACTTCGGGGGC